TTCATATGGAACACCTCAAGACCAACATTATTCGTACATACTTCTGCGTCCAAGTTTTATATGGAACGCCAAAATTGTCAAATCAAACACAGATTAATTTCAAGCACACTCGGTTTTCAGGCGCAATCAGTTAACAAACACAGTCGATTTTCATCAAGCATGAGTTGCAGTAAACCTTTGCTTTAGTTGCCCTTCACCAATTCTGTCTCAGCTCATATAATGTTTTTAAAATATTTTAGGTTATGAAAAATGATATGAAACTGTACCAAGACATGTATCTGAATTACCACTGAATTTCTGACATTGCGTAAAGAAAATAACTAATTTTCCTGCAACGAAAACTGTAAAAAAAAGACACAAACAGAAAACTGACAATTGAAAACTGTAGATCATACAATGATATTTTTATTTTTTAGATGATAACAGTCAACGTCGTTTCAATTATTATGTTGGTGATCTCAGTTGTATGGCTAATTTTATGCCTACTTTTTGCTGCATTATTCATCACATTCAAAGTGGGTTGCAATAATTGTGATCCAAACGACTACTCCTGCAACGAAAACTGTGGCATTGTAAGCATTTTAAAATGTTATATAATAGTTATAGTAAAGCGTTACCAATTTCCTTCTATATTTGTTTCAGTCGACCGTGTTCAAGCCGCGGTATCATCATGTGAGCTAGTGTCACAATGATTTTTGATTCCTGTGTCTCCCCTTCAATCAAATTTCCTCGAATCCCTGGGGTAGAATTATTTATAGGAGGCAACGAGCTAGAGAACACCGAATTTATTATAAATGTACGGTGGATTTGTTTAACCAGCAGACGTGTCCAAGCTCCAATTACAAAATAATTGCATGGTGATCAACATACGCAGAAAATAATCGAACATTAAGGGTTATAAGTGCCGTAACGCCCGTGTGCTTTCGGGTGTGGGGCGAGGCTTCATGCCCCAGGGTCCCTCCACCACCATCCAGCAAACTACTCAGGAGCCTTGACTTTTGGAACAATAAAAGGACACCCAAAACAAGCAATAAAACAATATAATTCGTATTTTGAAAGGTATTGGCATTACAAAATTTCTAAATGTTTTAAGGTAGGGAAGGGATTCACTCAAACACCGTCCCCTCTGTTGTGACACTTAAATTGATACAATATGTAGGTCTATAAATCTATTAAGCTAACCTATAATTTTGACTAAATAAATGATTTTTCATACAGTTTTATTAGAATAGTAAAAAAATTAGTCTAATCGAGTTCTTCTCTACTGTAAAATCAAATATTTTACTATGCCTAATTCTCACAGATTTTAAAATGTCTATTTTGCAGTCTTTTGAGTATGTTATCCCCGGCGGAGTGTTTATGGTTCTATTCTCAGCCATTACTCTTGCGACGTCAATCGTGTTGATTGTTTCATCCTGTACCTGCCGCCGATCAAACATGGTAAATACAATTACAGATCATTCAAACGTTTCAAAACAACTCATAGACACTCCCTCAAACATAACCAATCTACCCCTGGATAAACTTCCTGTACTGTACTCAATTGTTACATTGGCCTACTGTACTATTTAATATGTCCTCTATGCAACAACAACAACTACGACAACAACAACAACAACAACAACAATAATAATAATAATAATATAATGTACGGTAATAATAATAATAATAATATAATTTACGGTGATAATAATAATAATAATAATAATAATAATAATAATAATAATAATAATAATAATAATAATAATAATATAATGTACGGTAATAATAATTAAAAAATAATAATAATAATAATTATTATTATTTTTATAATAATAATAATAATATTTATGTAGAAAATAATAATAATAATACTGTAATAATAATAATAATAATAGTACTGTAATAATAATAATAATAATAATAATAATAATAATAATAATAATAATAATAATAATAATAATAATAATAATAATAATAATAATAATATTTACGTAGAAAACTGGAATCCAGTTCGGTTATATGTACTCAAATAGACGATAAAAACAAGCCACTTTTTTCTGGACCATAATATGTTGTTAACAAATAACATAATAATCACATGAATGGTTTACGGCAGATTTTTTGATCGAAGACTTCAAAAAGTAAAGTACTACTATCGTAATAATAGTTAAGTGAGTAAAATTCTTTTTATGACAATCCTGGAATTTGTTTCGTTGGATAAAATTCAATCGGTAATCTTTTTTTTTCATATTTATCTTTTTCAGGATTCTGCTCGAATATAATGCTGTTGGATCTTTGCCTATGATACATTGATCATCATCGTGGACGTACATTATTTTAATTGAAGCTGCCCTCTTTAATTTGAAAAAGTAGCCTCGAAAAGAAGCATATGGACTTTTTTGTACTTTGCAAATGCAGCAGAAAAGAAGCCCATCTAGAAAGGAAGCCATTTCATAAAGAAGCCCATCCAAAGTTCTAAAAAAAAAATAAAAAAATAAAAAAAATAAAAAAAGAAGAAGAAGAAACCCAGGGCTTCTATTTGAGGTTTACGTTATTTTGTATTAATTTTTATTAATTCATATCTTGATCTTTTAGAATCTACAATAAACCAAGTTTCTCAACAATACTGGGTATATATTGATACATATTATATTATACATTACTTTCGTTTTAGCTTACCTAGATGTTTACATGCATTCTATTTTAAGAGCATTTGTAAAATATTTAATAAAAATTTGTGAGTTCAAATTCACAATTCATTTGGATACAGTAATGTAAAACAATCAAACGTAAGAAGAGGCCGACAATATCGAATCAGTAAGGCCCATTGATTTTATCGGTAGTATTTTATATGTAATATTTTTAACTCTGTATCCTTACTACGGACTCTAATTTTGTAAAATATTTAATAAAAATGTTTGTATATTCAAATTCAACTGTCGTTTTGAGTATAATGTAAATGTTCTACTTCAGATAGGCCTACTAAAGAAGCAGAATTATTTTTTTTTAACGAAAGTCATCAATTATGAAATGGCAGTGGCAGATTCAAGGGGGTAAACAAAATAATGGACGAGAAAATTCTATTCAAATTCATGTGTGAGTTTGCCATTTCCGACGATCCAGAGGTGCCGTAATTAATATCTTTTAGCCTGTTTTCCACTAGGCGAATTTATTCGCGCGTATCAAAAACATCGGTTCTTGCGCATGCGCATTTACATTTCTCTCAGAGTTTTCGCTTCAGCGAAATCAATAGCTGTTTCTACTTTTTGTGAAGCGAGAAAAATCGTGCAACCAATCAGAACTCAGGAAGCGAAAAGACGTACCGGTACGCTTTAAGTCGGTTTTCCACTAGGCGAATTTATTCGCGCGAATTGAAGGCGTCATTCATGCACATACGCATTCACATTTCTATCGGAGTTTTCGCTTTAGCAAAATTCGTAGTTCGAAAAGTTTCTACTTTTTGCGAAGCGCCAAAAATGCACAGCCAATCAGAGCTCAGGAACCGAACCGACGCCTTCGATTCGCTCGAATAAATTCGTCTAGTTGAAAACCCGCCTTAGATTCGCGCGCGAATAAATTCGTCTTGTGGAAAGCAGGCTACGGCGGCTGGTATAGTCACCGACCACACCCATACACAATCAGCACAACGACTCTCCTGCGAGTTATGGGTTATTCTCCTACCTTTACCTCTACCCTACCCTTCATGATCACATGTCACAGATTTCACTTACAAAGTGAATGGTGGGAACAGATTAAAACCGTGTTTTGCCCTTCTTCTTGGTGATCGGAAACATTGACCATAGGGGTCGGTAGAAAAACGGTTTAACCTTTTCTCGTCCGAACATAGGATATGCGGTCTTTAAATATTCCCCGTTGTTAGCATTAATAGGATTTTCTACTAAATGAAAGGAAATTTCCAATGGTTTCACTGAACAAGTAATTCACTAAGCCAGCATGTCACTGTATATTCCAAACACTAATTGGTCGTAAATTGTCTGTCCAGAAAAATAGTGACTAATGTTTTGCACACTGGTTTTAGCGACCATCGTCTTGTATTTATAATGATTGATAAAATTATAACTATGTAAGAAAACAAACAACGACCATATGTAGTCATGTACAGTACGTATATACCGGTATCTATAGGCGTTATAATGAATAGAAATGGTACAAACAACAATTTTTTAAATATGAATAACATGGTTTATGCATTTGAATATAAATTTCTTGAGATTGCAGATAAACATTCCCCATTAAAAGATTTTTCCCTCGGCTCAATAAAGGTGTTATAAGATCCATGAAGGAAAGGGATTTGTTGTCGAAAAGGATCCACCGAGCTTTGGAATGGCTTTCGTAAACTTGTAACAGGGAAAAACAATGAATTTCATTTTAAAAATCAAAATATAAAATCCGACGACCATACTAACAGAAGAGATATAAAGAGAGGGAGAGAGAGGAAGGAAGAGAGGAAGAGAGGGAGTAAATGCACTTAACGTATACGGTATCCTGCAACGATGTAAACAATGTACCACAACCCTATTTCAACACGTTCCAAAGTCGTCTGATACAGGTAAGTTTATTTTTTGTATGTTTAATGAACGGAAACGTACTTGTTCTATCTGAAAATAAGGCGACCTTCTCAAGGTTGGTATTGACTACAATTTTCCAACATTATTTACTGTAAATATGACACTTTCTATATTGGAATTGAAGAGAGATAGGATTTTGCCCTGTGTACAACGAGGTAATCGAGAAAAATCATCCAACTATAGGCCAATTTCGATTCTGCAAATAACAAACAAGCCGTTTTATCATATTTTGTTAGCACTTCGTAAAAAAATATTTTTAAAATGGTATAGAGCATTTTGCTATTTCTTTTTTCATAAACATTAAGCTGATCTGACCTTGGAAGTTGTGAAGCTTATATTTTATTAGTCCACCACATCCTGGTTCATCAAATTAACCACCAAATGCGTGTCAACCATATCCTTAAAGCATGACGTCAGTATGTTCAAGGTATTTGTTATCAAGTCAATAGGCATCTATAGTTTTATTAATTATTCACGCGGTACGGAGGGCGATTATTAAGTAACTGGTGAAATCAAGACATATTGTATACGACAATTATAACGTTTGTTCGAAACATATTAAATTCACCAAGTCAATAATCAAGGTGGGTTTGTAGTGATACATTTTATTTTAAGTGTAAGAAGGGGCATGTAGGGGATATGTTTGTACTGTGTGTGTGCCATTCTTCATGTGTGAGGACCAAAGATCTTTGATATGAACGTGGAAGTTGGCAGTAGGGGTGTATGTCGCGTGTGTGTGTGTGGGTGTGTGTGCTGGTGTTCGGGTGTGCGTGCGTCTACGTGCAACGAGTTTTGAACTTCACAAGCAGTTCGAAACTCGCTACTGCACCAAGCAATGAATCAGTTTTAGATTTTAATAATTTTGTGAATAGACTTTAGTTATATATATGCTCATTATATTTAAATTCAAGGTTTTTAGTAAAGCCAAGTTTTTAAATAATTCGTAACTGTTATTACGGCTCTAAATCTTTCATTGTACATTTGAGAATAGGATCTTTTTATTTAATTTGCATTATAGTGTTTACATGTAGACCTACAACAACAGATTCATGTGTGCAATGGAGAATGAAGAGGGGAGGCATGGCAGCGGGGACTCGTCCCCCCACGACATATTTTCGATAATTTCTTAATTGTCTTTCATTGGGATCGCAGCTTCAGTTTCAAGGGCCAGCGGCAGATTTAGGGAGGGGGCGGCCCGGGCCCGCCCCGCACCGGCAACTTTCGGTCCCCCTTCGCCCCCCCCCCCTTTGGACATCTCTGGATCCGCCCCTGAGGGCCTTAATACGTGCTAATGCTAGATTACTGGTTAAAATTAAAAATTTAGTACATTCTCGATTGTCTTTAAAATGTGAACCTTTTACGATTATTCTTTTTTTTTGGCGGGGGTGGGGGAGTTGCGCGATCTATTTTTATTTTTTTTAGGAAGGGATGTTGGGGTGGTGCGTGTCTTCATAGGTTGTCTGGAATCTCCATCTTTAAAGTCCTTCACTGGACCCCTCTAATTCGAATTTATGGGATCACGCGTACTGCTTGTACAAGATCGAGTAAATAATTTATTTTTAATCTTGCTTACAGAATGTCAGGTGGATGTTGTGGGTCAACAAGTGCCAAAGTGGCTTCGATTATCCTGATCATTACTGGAATAATAACATTCATTGCAGGAATAGTTTGGACGGCACTACTGCCTATATACTTTATTGGTATACCGCTAATTATCGGAGGAGCGATGGTGAGTGTTCTTATAAACCGATTCAATTCAATCGACGCTGCAAAATCTATTAAGGGTTATTCCGCATAACTTACAACAATATACACAAAACGGACACTCATTTAATTTCAAAATATATATGCCGCAAATATGTGTCAATATAAGGGGTTTCCCGGCTTTCCTTAAAACAAATTAAATATACTTTTTAAAGAAAATGAAAACACTTCAAAAACCCAGTAAATTAGTGCCAGAGCTGAATTTGAAATGTGGTTACTGCTGTACTTTTATCAATGGCGGTGTCACGTATTTGTTTGCTTAAATGTTTCTTTTTCTTTAAGTTCATAGCAGAGGGTGTGCTCGGTCTCATGTTTGTCTACAATGCCAAAAATAGATGTTGGGTAAGTGAACATAACAGAATAAAAGCGGTTGCTTGGTTACTATTGTTTTTCAATTCAATTTCAATTTAATTTATTCATAAAAAATATTTAATTATTGCAATATGTAACGAAAACGTGAAGATAATATAATAAGGATGAGAAATAAATAACACTGGAAATATTTTCATTTCAAGGATGATAATGATAGTGATTTTGCTTATTATAGTAAGAAATGTAAATGGTATTTTTATTAATTATTTATCTCACCATTGTTTTCATTGAAGACTAAATAGGCCTACAAGCAATTCTAACAATGTAAATGACCTCACTTTTACTTGTCGATGGCTTGTTATGATGTCATTATGTACAGGTCATGAAGTAGGTAAAATTTACTTTCTCCATTACTCATACATTTTCTCCATTACTCATAATTTTTTTTTTTTTTAGATGGTGACTGTCAATGTCGTTTCAATTATTGTTATGGTGGTCTCGGCTGTAGGGATAGGTGGATGCACATTTTTGGCTGTACCGACCATCGCCTTAAGAGTGGATTGCAATGATTGTGATCCAACCGACTCCTCCTGCAACGACGAATGTGGCATTGTAAGCATATTTCAAAGTTTATATAATAGCTTTATTAAGGATTTGCCAAATTTCTTTCATATTTGTTTCACAGCGGACCGTCTAATTGTATTTCTTTATAATCAAAATCTAATGTCTTATGTTTATTTATCTTGTTTTAGAATGTGTTTTAGAACACTGTCTTTTCTTTTTGGTGACCATTTTTTAATTTTTTTTTATTTTTGAATATAATTCATACTACAGGAGAAGAGATACAAAGGTAGTATATATGGCCATGATGTGCCCATATATAGTCATGATATGCCTATATATGGCCATGATGTGATGTCATCATGACCATATTACTCTAGGCATGTTACATGTTGTGATAGCCAGGACAGGGCTTTGTATTTAAATATATAGGCTTTTTTACTAAAGATTTATTCTTATATATGTATAAGCATCAACTATTTCCTCCATGGTATAAGTTGATATTTTTATTTTGCAGGCCTTTAGTTTTATAATCATCACCTATACATTTATGATTCTAGTCTCACTCGTTTCTTTTGCGACGTCAATCGTGTTGATTGTTTCATCCTGTACCTGCCGCAAATCAAACATGGTAAACACAATCCCAAATTGTTCAAATCAAACGATCACACACATCGTTATCAACCCACATATTAGGTGCCTCTCACCCAGCACACTACTCAGTATTTCAGTATTATTTTATTGGAACTCACTTTTAGATCAGTGGCACACACCTAGCAAGGATCAAATTCAAATATGCGGTAAGCATATTCATATACTCCCTGCAAGGTTTGGCGCAGCGGGAACGGTTTGGTTTCCCAACCTCGAGGTCAGGATTTCAATCCCTCCCTGTGCATTTCGCTTGTGTCCTTGGGCAAGACACTTTATCTGCATTGCTTCTCTTCACCCCCAGGAGTATTAGTCGGAACCTGTGGGGTTACCTGCTCCTGCGCTGATTACCAGCAGCAACACTTAGCATGTGGACCAAATGATCAGGGAAAAGAACTGCGCTTTATAACCGCAAGGAAGAGGTGCATTATAAATGACCGTACTAATACCAATACATCATTATTCACATAGAAACATCCCTGAGTCATCAAACTCACCCACGTATTCGACTGATGAATGTTGATTCATTTATGTTTAGTTATAGTGACAATAAAATCAATAATAAATGATGATGATGATGATGATGATGATGATGATGATGATGATGATAATAATAATAATAATAATAAATAGATTTAATATTTTGTGAAGACCCTACATTAGATAAAATTTAACACTAAGTATAATAACTACGTTTATTATCTATATTATTTATGAAGGGTTTTAATGAACCAATACTTCAATAAAGTAATAGTAATAATAATAATATCAGGCCTATGTGACTGCAATGTGTGACTCACTTGTTGGACGCAGTTTCATTTATAATCCTATTTTTCACATTTTTTCAGGGTTCTGCTCCAATCTAATGTTATCATTGAGGAACCAAAAATGATACGATGCATTCAACGTGGAGTTACATAATAGAACTTTCCTGAGTGTCGGTGCCATCAGAACAGTGCCAGGCACTCACTGCGCCCGACGGTCGTCGGCCGACGCGAATCTACAAAGAACGCAACTCGACGACGCGCGCACAACGGGATCTTTTTTTTAATGACGATCAGTTTAGACTGCCACTCGACAATCAGCAGACGTCGTCGCGTCTTCTAGCGCGCACAGGGAGCAAAGTTGGATTCGTCCTGCGACGGTCGTACGAACGTCGTACTACGCAGTGAGTGTCCGTCTTTAGCGGAAAACGTTCATTGTACCTATTTTGTATTAATTTTTATTCAATTCATACTTTACGATAATTGATCATTTACATTCGTCAATCGACCAAGTTTCTTTATAATAAATATAAAACATACAGAGTATATTAAATTGTATGTTATTTACATTGACTTCATTTTATCGTGCATGGCCTGTGAATTTTTCAATTTTAAAAACTTTGTAAAATATTTAATATAAATTTTATCACCCACCAATGAGATACCATAATTGAAAACAATCAAACGTAAGAGCTAGGCCTAATGAGCGGAGTTAACTAACTTAGTGGTTAAGATGCTTTCTTTCCATCACAGAATCATGTCTGGTCGGAATGTTTTGGTTTTCAAGATGCTTGGTAATGCACTTTCCTGTCTTCTGGGACGTCAATGTGGGATAATTTAAGAGTGGACCCACTTCAAGAGTGCATCAAGTCCAATATTTAGATCCTATCTAATTTTAACGCTTGCTTTTGACTGTTGTGTACCCTTTTTTAAAAGTACTAATTATGGCAGCAGTCCCATGGGAGTGGAAGAGGAAGGGGGTAGGCCTGCCACACAGGGCCCCAACGGACGCAACTCATTAGAAATTTTGTTGCCATAATTGTGTGCTAAAACCTATCAGAACAGCGTAAAATAGCGTGATTGGTCGAACTCTGGCTGGATAAATGGATCATCCTAAAAAAAAATATAAATATATTTGAAAACTTAATTTATACCAAATACATGTGACCCGAACCGTGGTGTTAATGGCATGAATGGTGTTAAACACCTTGCTCGTTGGCGTTCTGATGTATATTTTAGAGGTGCACAAGTGTTTGTCTATACACAATCACAGGCACTCACAGTATTCTCTCACACTTTTCTTGTTGTTGCAACACAATGGCTAAAGTACAATCCCGTTCCTGGTTATTCATGTTTCTAAAATTTAAATGTAATTCGTAATAAGATACTAAATACAATAGTTTCATAATGGTTTAAAATGTTCTGTATAATGAATAAACTGCTATAAAAAATATGATGTTCATTTTGATTCTTTAATTCCATATAATTTCACTTGCTTTATACATTATCATTTTATTCACAATAAACTTTATTCAATCAATTACTTTTAGCATTTTTTTTTTAAATTCTCATTTCAAAGATTGATTGAAAGGCAGCAAGATGAGCAAGTTTTAAGTTTTGATGCCCTACAAAGAAATAATAATAATAACTACAAAATAAAAATAGAAAGATAATAATAGAAGAAGATGCATTTATAAATCATGATTCTTAAAAAAAGGTAATGATATTATGACATAGGCTATACAATGTAAAGTAAAAATTAACAGTTTCTAGTTCCATAGTAATGAGTATCTTCAATTGTGAGATAAAATGTATTAACGGGAATAGGAAGCTGTTTATTATGAAATTGATTTCGCCATGCTTTTATAGAGATCAAATATATTTAATGTATTAGTTTGGTAAAATAGTGGTATTGAAGGATGATGAAAATGAACTTTGCATATAATTCGAAGTGCTTTCTTTTGAGAGCAAACGGGCTGTGGTCACACTAACATTCAGCGAAATGTCCTAGTACCGCATCCGCGATGCCGTGTTTGAGTGAATTGTGTGTGACCACATATGTAAATATATATATATATATATATAT